CACGCGGACATTGTTCGCTTTAGGTGGGGCCCCCGTTATATGTGGGCTAGACTGTACAATGTACTTTTGTCAAACAAGCTCAATGTTGTGTGAAATGAGAAATGTTTTGAATGATCCATTCAACCCTTCCACAATCTCGTCGTGAAATTCACCTTTAAACTCGCATCTCATTCTCATGTAAAAAGCTGTGCTCATTTAATATCTTGTCTTTCTTTTTGCTTGTAAAATGAAAAGTGCGTTTAGGATGCGATTAAGAAGTTTTTACTTCTAGAGTGTTAAAAAACAAAGGAAAATCCTGTCCAACCTTAGAGCCACATATGACGTCTACGAGGCTTGTGATGTTGTGATGATGCCATTAAAGTTTCCAAATTTTCAAACAGATTAAAAAATAGGCAGTTGACTGTACCCAACAAGCGGTGATGCATTGTTTTAGTTTCAAGCTCGCAAAATACCAATAAGCAAGAGAGTGACTGAACATCCGGCCAGTCTGCTGACGCAGTGCACACATTTTCCCCATATAGCTCCGTGTGCTCGCAACGAGTTTTCAGACTGGTTGAAAAAGACCAGACAGAAAATTATATGGGCAGATGAGATCAACAAGTTTGCAGGTATCACGTGGCCGCCAAAAGCACAGGATTTGGTTTATTGACAGATCATAAGAGAGGCCTTTGCCCTGCAGTGGACTTGGTCAGGGTGCATCTGCTTATGATAAAAAAGGTATATTTTTCAGACTGATTTAACATGAGGTAATTGATAGCAAGCGGTCTGTCTCCTTTGAACACGGTAAATCCATGCTACAATCTAGAAACCTTAGCACAGTGCTATATGAAAGTGCTGCCATGACCCTAAGATATCATAGCAATATGTTTATTTGAAAAGTGCTGCTCACGCAAATAGCAGTTTCTTGTGTGGCCAACAGTCGAGAACGATTTTTCACATATGCGATATCAGTATTTCTTCTTTGAAAGCGAAATATGGACTACCACCCCTTTCTTAGCGTTGCTGCATGGCCACTCTCATGCTTTATCACAAATTATTTCATTCCTTGCTCAATCCACCACCTTATATAATAGCTGCAACACGCATATCTCATCGAACCAGTCATCCATTTCAGGTTGCCCACCCTTCATCACGCACTACTTCTGCATCCTTGTTTTTTAGAGCAGCCACGGACTGGAACGGCCTTCCCAGAGACATCGCCACCATCGCCTCATTATGTGCTTTCAAAACCATATTATTAATCATCTTCTACACTAAAACCCCGTTTACTGCGTTTGTTAGCCTAATACGACTCCACAACTAATCCATACCTGCCAAGTTCAAGGATTCTGAATACGGGAGATTTCCGCAGTGGGGGGGGGGGGGCTGAATTATTTGCTCCTATTTTATTTCAGCACCAAAAGTAATCCCAGACCAAAGATAAGCCCAAGGACAAACAAACAAAAAACATCGCGGAAAACAAGAGGGGGTGGGGTGTCTCACTCGCAAGCGCAAGCATCAGCGTTGCGGTCAGCTTGGAGTGGCCGAACACACGAAGGTAGAGTTTCCCACTAAGGCGAGAGTCTCAAAGAATCAACACAAGTATCAGAATACATTTCCTTCAAAACAGCTCTTGTGTGTCTTACTGGGGCACACGTGAACGGACGGGACAGCGTAGCTGGCTGCCGCAAAAGTGCAGGTGAAAGCTTTGCTCCCTGCTAGATTCTTTTGACAGGAACGCCAAAACACGTCTGGCCCCTTTGTTATTGACAGTCTAGGCTGGTTTTTTGTAGTTGCCGCCACCACTGTTATTCACCGTATATGTATACTTATCTATATATATTAACGCTCTAGATTGATTCGTTGATTAAAACTTTATTTTAGTCCTGAGAAGACGCAGGGGAGACCCCGCGACACCCGGCTAAACCCACGTAGGGACTGTCAAGCCGAGCTTGGCGGCCCGTTCATGGGCACTCTGGACGGCCAGGGTTTGATCGTTAAGTTTGGGGCTGCGTAAGAGCGAAGCCTACCTGTCCTCGCTGAGGGCGGGGCCGATGGCTTCACGTTCCCAGAACACATGATGGAATGTTGCTAACAGTCCACAGGCGGGGCCATCCGCACTTAGATATCGTTCAGGGTACATAGCATGAAGAACCGCAGGGTTTGGATACACACTGGCTTGCAATAGTCTAAGGGTAACTGCCTGCGCCCTGCACAAGGCAGGGTGTTGGAAAGGGAATACGCTTCTTGACAGATAAAAGTGTTTTGTTATTTCGTTGAATGTAAGTAAGGGTTCCTAGCGAGGCAGAGCGACTGCGGAGGCGGCGCGATCGGTGAGTCCTCGTGCAGCCTCGCGTGCGCCCTCGTTAGGGTTAGAAATAGAGTCCTCAATCGACCCCAGGTGAGCGGGAAACCAAGTGAAAGAATAGGGCGTGATACTCTTGACGCTTTGGAGAATGCGGAGGGCCTGAGGGGCTACCATCCCGGTTTCGTAGGCTTTGACAGCTGCCTTGGAGTCGTGTATATTGACTCTCTGCGACTATCTAGCATAGCCAGCCCGATTGCAACCTGTTCGGCTATCACAGGCTTCAATGTGCGTACCGTGGCGAAGCAAGTGAGCCTGGAATTTGAGTTGCCGATGTAAACAGCGAATGCCTCTTGTAGGACATACGGCGCAGCATCCACAAAACTTGCATCAGTGGGGTTGCTACGGACGTGCTCGAGCAGAGATCTACCCCTGGCCCTACGTCGACCGACGTTGTGAGCAGGGTGCGTATTGCGGGGAATGGTTGCGATGCGCAGTTGAGACCTGATGTTTCTGGGAATCTGCATGGAATCGGGGCACTGGTCAATAGAGTTGAGGCCCAAATCGTCGAGTATCTTGCGGCCCGATTTGGTTCCGGAAAGCCTGAGCAGCTGTGAGCGCTCTTGCGCCTCAATTATCTCTTCGAGTGTATTGTGAACACCAAGCTTGAAAAAGTTTTCAGTGCGAGTGCTTACAGGCAAGCCGAGCGCAAGCTTGAAGACCTTTCTAATGAGGGAATTGAGCTTACTCCTCTCTGCGACATGCCAATTATGCATGGCCACCGAGTACGAAAAGTGGCAGAGCACAAACGCATGTATGATGCGGATGAGATTGTCTTCCTTGATTCCCCGGTGTCTGGTGATCCTCCGGATGAGGCCGAGAGCACTTTCCGTCTTGGTAGTGATCTGTCTGAGTGCAGCTGCGTTAGCGCCGTTAGACTCGATATACATTCCCAATATTCAAAGCGAATCCACTCTGGGCACTGGGGACCCGTCACCAGTGAAAAGCTGTATTTCACTTTGAGACGCAGGTTTCCAGTCACGGTGGCCGCCACTTCAGGGGTCTTTTCTTGTAGAGCAGAAGTTTAGATTTCGATGGGGAGCACCTGAGTTTGGTGAGACGGAGGAAATGTTCGGTCACGTCGATTGCGCGCTGCATGGCTTCCTCAACTTGACCATCGCTCCCACCGGTGCACCAGATGGTTATATCTTCTTCGTAGATGGTATGATTGATTCCTTGAACCTTCGCGAGTTCCTTGGAGAGCCCGATCATAGAAAGGAAAAAAAGCTGCCTGCACTCGGTCCCTAGCTCGTCGCAATGCGCAGACGCGTGCTCATCTCTGACGCGTACTTTGCCCCGCGGAGGGGCATGGAGGGGGTGGGGGGGGGTTTGATGCTTGTGCGCATGCGCTTATCTTTCGGTGGGGAGAATCGTGAATCGTGTGCCTTCGACTTTCACTGGAATGATTGCGTTAGTTGCTGGGCCCGCAAAGGTATCTTCGGTCTATGCACAAGCCCCGTTTGCGAAAAGAGCGCGCTTTTCATACACAGCGAGGTATAACTGGGACACTTGTTAGTTTGTACTCATCCATACCAGTGATTATGTATCGAGCATCACTTTTTTTGTTTAAACAGCACGTTACGTGTCGAGCGGTAAACGTTAGTTCACTCTCGTCTTGTTTGTATTGTTGTCGTGCGTCATTTGTGCGTGAGCAGCGCGCTGCGCGTTTCGATCTGCTTGCCGTTCTCAGTGTGACATTCCAAGTTGTTGCTGTCACATTAATTGCTTCGCCCTTGTGGCGAAACTGCGACCTTTTTTTTATGTGTTTACTGCCTTTAGTCTACCACCGCATGCCCTCAAAGCTCGTATATCGCTATCGCACCGCCGCGACTGCGATGTTGTGCGCAGTGGTTGCGGCAAATGGTAGTTCCTTTTTCAATCTGCCGTGCGCTTGACTGTGCACACGGCTTCAAAACAAAGTCGTTTTATGCTGTCTACGATCGCGTCTGCCACGGTTTTGTCCACTGGGTTTTCGGAAAGCAGCGTTGCTTTGACTGGTTGAGTGTTGGACGCACGCACACTTTCGGGACTGTCAGTTACGTTGTCGCCATACACGATCACGTGAAAAGCGACCAGGGTTTCATTGACAGCGGTTGTGGCAACGACAATCACGCACACTGTAGAAGACAGTGCGTGTGCCAGTTGCACACGTACTTCCGAAGCTTTTAGTATGCTGCTCTCGGCCTTCGTTCGACAATTTCCATACTAAACTTCGTATCATCCCTCACGATTAGGAAATGTGTTCGAAACATTAGCATTTAGGCCCAAAAGACATAGTAAAATTTCGCTGAGGAATTTCACGAATTCATATCTGCCACGGTTTCGCATCACTGAGACTCTACTGTAAGTTTAGATGAATGCCTCTTAAACTCATTCATAATAAAATGGGGTAGGTTCGAAAAGCCTGGAGTGGATTGAGCTGCTTTTTTGTCAAGGTGGCCGGATCACTCACAAAAATTTTGATTTCCGGGAGATCTTCATGACAACCGTACAAACGGAAGAAACGGTCTAAATCTGGGACTCTCGGCCAATCCGGGAGACTTGGCAGGTATGCTAATGTAATGCCCCTCCAAGAAAGGGGGGCCTTTAAGGTAATAAAATGAACTGAAATCCCCCGACAATTGCAAAGATTAAATCTGAAGTCAAACGAACAAACCTTCACTTCAAGTGTTGCATCCAGCTCAGCCCGCTGCCTTTCCAAGTCCTTGGCCACACGTTCTTGTTGCCGCTGGAACATCTGGGCTCGTTCGTGTTCCGTTGCCTGTAAATAGTATATTTTATTGACATAAAACATTGTTATCCTTTATAATTGTTGAACACAAATGCTTAAGCCCGCACAATAATGAGTTCAATCCCACCCTAGTATTTGGCATGTTACACAGAAACTATCATCATCATCATTATCACCTTATTTTATGTCCACTGCAAAACAAAGGCCTCTTCTACAGTCCCCAATTTACCTTGTCTCAAGTGAGATGGTTCTATTTTAAACCTGGGAACTTTTGTTGTCCTCGACTGAGAGTCGCCTTGACTAGATCAATAAAAAATTCTTAATGTATTATACCTCATGACAACTTTCTGTGGCAGCACAGCCAGGGCTACGAAATTGAAGCACACACTTGTTTACAGCAAAAACTGTTATGAGATCACAACAAGGGTCACATGTGCCGTAGTTGTCCACTGCCGCCAATGTCCGTAACCACTATCACGAAAAAAAAAAAAAAAAAAACTTGGCATGTAAAAACACCAAGGACACAATAGGATTCAAACCCGGGTCCCCTGCGTGCCAGCCCAGTATTCTACTACTTAGCCAGGCCTGTGCTTGACACTCCATTCCAAACTGACCCTAGGCAGGCTGGATGTCGGCAAAGGAATTGCGTTAACGTAAGTAATAAAGCATTTTAGAACAACCAAAAAACACAATGCTAATTGCATAATGGAGTGGTTCGTTGAATGCTCCAACCCATTACTAAAGCTTCAGCTATAATTCTTCGTCATCAGCCACAGCACCAAAAATTGCACAAATTCCTTAGAGGGGTGCAGCAGGTACCACATTTCTCCGAACAATGACCAAGCATGGCATAGTGAATGCCTGCCTACTACACGAAAATTATGATTTATGGCATAGTGGGTACGCTGTAAGTGTGATCGTAGCAGCTACCAAAAGAGTTTAAAAATGCACTGAAAGGCCACTCTTCCAGCTTTAGCTGTGAATGTGCTGCGAGCTCCGCACAAGGCCTGCTGGTTTTTACTATGTTTCTGTATCTAGTCTGAGAAAACTAACAATTGTATGTGTAGCACAAAAAATATAAAAACAAAAGATTGTTATTATGCTTAAGACCGTTCACATTGCTATCAAGAAATCTTACTTTGGCAGTATTTTCCTGCTTCGCCATTTTACGTTTTCTAGTGCCATTTCACCTTTTCATGCCCCCAGTGAACAATGATGCCTTCGCTTGGCTGCAGCCAGTTCACGTCGAAGCTTGTGAGCTAGCATGAGTGTGTGTTCGTTAGATAATATATATTCGAGTTGATAAAAACAAAGTGATGCATTGTGATGCATTGTCAAATACCAGGTGGGGGGATTTCAAATTTTATACACTCAACTTTCGACTACACGCCTTTATTGGTGTCATTCTTGCTGCATATATCTGTAGACTCTCAGTTCACCCAACCCACAAGTAAAAAAATTAGGGTTTGAACTGCGTTAAAGAGCCTGTAAAAAAAAAAGTTTCCCACTGTAACTTGCTGAACTGTTCTAGAGTTTCTTCAACAAGAGCCTACTATATACAGTGTACAAGGGTTAAAATACAGTACCACATGAGCAGCACATCTGCAAAAGTCACCTGCATTTTGACATGAGCCTTGGTCAAGTTTTCTATCTTCCGGTGGGCATGAGCAAGTAGCAAATTCAGCTCATCTTCAGACAGCTTCTGCCCTGTTCAAGAACAACACATATCATTTTATTATACATACATATATACATACATACACACACGCACACACACACACACACAAAAACTGAGCAGTGAAAAATTCCTTCTAAAGGAAACACAAGTGCAAATAACAGTTTAGACTACATCATAATCACAATTCTCTGCCTGTACGAGTCCTCTGCAGGATGAAGGCCTCTCCCAGTGATCTTCAGTTTACGCTATCCTGTGCGAGCAGATTCCATTTTATCCATGTGAACTTCGCAATTTTGTCATTCCATCCAACTCTTCGCCTTACCCTACTGCGTTCGCCATCCCTTGGTAACCATTCTGTTGCTATTACTATGCATTGGTAGCATGTTCTATGCATTACACGACCAGCCCAGGTTCATTATTTTCAACTAATGTCAGCTAGCATATTTGCAACTCCTGTCTGTTCTCTTACCCAATCTGCTGTCCTCTGATCCCTCAATGTTATTCGTATCATTCTGCATTTCATTACACGCTATGTGATCCTTCGCTTCCACTCTAGTTGTTTTGTCGTTCATGTTTCAGCCCCATACAACAGAACTGGCAGTAGAGAGTGGTTGTACAATTTTAGCTTTAAAAGGGCCCAGCAAGACTTTTTGAGCATGGTCAGAAAACACTGCTGATCGGTAGTGGAGGCTCTCAATAACATGCAAGCCAAATATTATAGCTCAGCATGCGACCTGGAATTCACACCGAATTATCAAAGTCAGCTAAATATCACGCTCTCTTCTCTTGACAAATGACGAAAGACGCTCAACAATCACTCGTACAAGGCCATCTATCAGCCATTGGCTGATTTGAATGTGATGCACTCGGTCGTCAAGGGGATTGCCGCAGGAGGCTGCCACTTGTCCACACATGTAAGTGGGATCGCACTGGAAAAAGCCGTGTATTCGAATAAAAAAAAAAAGGAAAAGGTGCTCAAAGTCACAAGGCGCGCATGACGTACTTTCTTTGCCCTGCCATCCCTCCCTGCTTATCTTCCAGCGCTTTCATCGGGACGGGAGAAAAGAGAATGCGTTTGCAGCGTGCGAGAAAATTTTTGTAACTCTACTCGTACTAGACAGATTCTTAAAATTTTTTCAGCATTGAATTCGTGAGGCAATAAGCTCTTTTAGTGAATCCATTTTATGGTTACTTGAAAAAGTGTTTCAAAACCACTTGATAGTGACAGATTTCTTGACATTAATGACTAAAGTGCAGTAAAGCAGCGAGCACAGAGAAAGGAAACAAGCGGCGGCGGAGAACTAGTGTCCTTGCTGTGACATCACATCGGTGCGAACGCAGCAACACCAGTGTTCATTTTCAGAGCTAATAGAATTCCTCTGCCACCGTAACAATGCCACTAAAGTTGGTATATTTCCCTGCTTGTCTTTAGGAGCATGCATTTTGTTTCTTCTATACAGTCTCTTTTTCCCAGTTTTTCACAGGCTACACTGACAGATTTAAATAAAGTAAAAAATGTCAATATTAACAATGTTTCAGTAATCAAGACACGAAAGCAAATAAAAAACAGAAAATGAGACTCCAGCAGAGAATTCTATAATACAGTAAAAGCTTGTTAATTTGGCATTAGTCATTTTGGAACATCGAATTATATTCAGATGTGTTTTCTGGTAGAGGCAAGCATGCGTATTGCTGAAACACATCAAACTCTTGTTAACTTGGTCTTGTTTGGCCACAACCCAAAACATTTGAATGATCCTCAGAGCACACCGAGCACAAGATGACGCAAATGTACAATGCAAAAGATTGAAAGCAGCATTCGAAGACAGCCAAAACGGTCACGGGCTTTCCGATAGCGTGGTCATCACATACAATTATGTTGTTTATAGTACGAGTTTAGAGCACTTTTAGGATTGAGACACGAGTCTTGAGCTGCATTCACATTGTAAACGAATTGGCAAAGGACAAAAAATGTGGCTTCTGCACTACTTTTATGCAAGATGATGAATTTATGTACGTATTCCTCAAGAAAATGAAAGTGCACTGATGCAATAGACATTCATTTATTGTTTCCCAAATACTTCCAAAAATTTGGCACTTGGTTAATTCAGACAGTTTTTACAACTCTATGAAACCCGAACAAACAAGCTTTTACTGAAATAATAATTGTTCACGTTTTACGTTCCAAAACAATGTTAGGATTATGAAGGATGCCGTAGTGGAGGGTTCTGCAAATTTTCACATTAGCGTAGATGGTGCACAAGCTCGCATCCTGGCAATGATCCTGGCAACAGTGGGAGCTAGAAACACACCATGGCCACAATGTTTAAGGCACCATCTCTCGACAAGAATGTATGCAATATCGGTGGTAGAAAAGTTTTGCTACCTGCGCACTCATATTTTAATACTTTTTTCAACATACATTGTTTCGCAAGCTTAGCTTGTTTTCAAAACTTCACGAACTGCAAGTAAAAGAAAGTGCAGTGTCTACGAAATGTCAGCTTGCTTCCCGGCAGTGCTTTAGAGTCTTTGGCAAGAACCCATAGTGCCATCTACTAGGCTGTAAAGGGCCCAGTATATATGTTATAGATCCCCACTAAGGGATGGGAAATTCAGATTGTCCTAGGGATATGGGGACCTTGAAGCACAATTTTATCATAACGATTTTCTTGGCATAAACAAGTAGAATGAGGTTTCTGAAACAAAATTTTACCAATGCACCTCGCCTTCATTGAACCTTAATGTAATTTAAGACACACAAATGTATTCATATGAAAAAAAGCAACAGAGAATGTAACTAAACATTTCAAATTGGCCCTATAAAACACCTTGCCACAACAGAGATTCGATTCCACAACCTTTTGGATCAGCAGTCACGCACCATAGAGTGATTCCACGTAAGATTGAACAAAACATGGCCGGTCGACTTTTTAAATTTCTTTCAGAATTTTATATATTGTTGCCCGATGAGTGGAAAGAAGAGATCCGCAATTGGTTTTGCCAGAAAAAATTTTTCAAAGCACAGTAATTCATTAATGATGAAGAGGTGGAGTGCCTCGCTTTCCTGCTCTGCTGGTTTTTCCGGCTTTGGCATTGAATTACACAAAATATATTATGGCTACGTACGTCGAATTTGTTTAGGTAAATATATACGTATTTGTGCTTACGTTCAGTTATTTTTTGCTTCTCTGGGTAGTGCAGACATTTTTATAAAAAATCTCAAAATTGACACAAGAAAGTTTTTGCGCCTACTTTGCAGGCCTTCATTAAAAAAAAAAAAAAGCTTACGACAGTGCGGCGAAAATTCCACACCACTTTCTCGGCATGCTTATTTTTAAAACTGCCAAAGCTTACTTTAATAAAACTTTTCAATAAAGAGATACATTTGCACTAATTTCAAGAAACTCACTGGAATTAACATTGCTTCTTAAGTGGCCAAAAACACAATCCGCATTACGGCCTGCGACCAACGCAATAGCACAATTCAAATCACCTAATGTAAACAACCGGTCGCAAATTCAATATGGAGGCAAAGGTGGCGGCAGTGGCTCGCATCAGTGCAATCGCAAACTACCCACGCAGCACTTCGAAGCTCACGGCCTCGACAGGGCATCTTTCATTGGGCCTGGGTTAGATTACGATCGCTGAGAACACAGGACGTAGAAGTAAGTGCAGCAGCAGTGAGTTGGCACGCCGCAAAATGTCTCGCTTTTGCACAGCCGGCTGAATCTGAGGCCGGTGCGTTTGCTCAGGGTTGTTTCTGGTGGTGTATCTCCCAAAGCAAAGTTTGAAATGTGCGGACTGTTTATTTTCAGTGCTTGACGTGCATAACTCGAACTCTTTGCGAATTTTAATGCTCAGGAAGCGGGCAAAATTAAATGAATTCTCAAAGTGGTGAAGGCGGCAGTGGTGGTGGAATGTACGAGAGGCAAAACGAGCGTGATCGCTTTCGACACACACTGACATGATTTTTCTGTTGCTCTGGCATTTTCGTTGCGCTTCTCAAGTGTTCCAGGACAGACATTTTTGGTGTCGACATCGCAGCGCGGTTTTCTGGCTGCTTAAGTGGCGAAGTGAGCGAGTTCCTGGCGTGTTTTGTCGCTTTCGCTCTCTTTGAGGCGAAGTGTGAATGCGCCTAAGAGGGCAGACTGGTCTTAGACATTTTTTTGTTTATTTCTTCAGTAATCTTGATGAAACTGCACAGTATTATGCAGTTTTTCCTGCTGATTTTAAATATTTAATTGATTTTCTTGTAACTCATCTTGTTCTGGGATAACTTAAGCTCACCCCTTATTGTTTAAGCCCACCATAGAAAGAAAAATCTCTAATTAAAAGTGACAATGAAGATATGCAAACAGACTAATCACTATAGATTGAAAGTATGCAAGGGTTTTTTGTTTTTAGGCATTTATTGGCTATATTACAGCAAAATAAACTATCCACTTGCAAAAACAGTTTGAATTATGTTACAATTTGAATGAGTAAATTATTAAAAAGGCTTGTGCTGTGAATTCTGCTCCCATACTTACAGTCTCCATGCATACAGGTTTCCATTGCAAAAAGAATCATTGTTGTACCTGCCCTAACTGCAGAGATATAGAGGCCTCAAAATTAAACAGTCATAAATTTACATTTTTGAAAAAAAAAAAACGGAAAAAGCTGAAAACGCACAGCTTCTTCAGAAAGCAACAATCATGGTGCACATGTTTTGCAATCCTCATAAAGGTGCTCATAAATTCATGGCAGAGCTTCTAATACAGGAGCTGGCAAATTATAAAAAAGCCCCAAAGTCATTTCTCCATTTTGTGCAGGTTCTGCATGATAGCAGCACTGAGAATCTGGACAGTTTGAATGACATTACAAAAAATTACCACTTCCTGGTGAGTGAAAATTTGCAGAGATAGAAAAATACTTGCAGGAAACAAAGATGTCAATTTTAAAAAATGATTTTTTTTTGTCACTTTTTGGTCCCAAAGACTAGTCTGCCCCCTTAAGTGCCAGATGCAGGAGTGAAGACCACGGCAAGGTTTTATTCCTTTCACACTGCTTTCTTGAGAGACAGGGAGAGACAGCAAAGACAGAACAGTTCAAAAGAACACCATAGACTTTTTCAGCAAGAAGTATTTGACCGCAATAAACGTCTTGCTCGCCTTCATGATCAGCTTTACCTTCTTTTGATTCATAAAAATTCGAGGTGATACGAACACGTTGCGTGCTCCCTACGAATTCGTATTATTATATTCCACTGCATCTTCTATTGTAGGCTATTTTGCACCCATTCATTCACTTCGAAAGCTCTGCTAGTTCTTATTTTGTACGCTGTGTTTGAGGCTACCATGCTTTGATGACTCTTAATGAGGTTTTTCATCTCCTGGGAGAGCTTGCCAATGTACTGTCTAGTGACTATACCTCTGATTTCCATTGCAAACTTCATAATGATGCTAGTCAGACCATCATTAATTGCATGAATGCTCAGGTTCATTTTCTCTCATAAGAGCTGAGCCAGTTATTTCCCTCTCAGCGCTAGCTCATTAGTTGGCTTCTTGCATATCGGTTTATGCCGTTGCTCCCTCATTTGAGACCTTACCGTTCCATGGTCACTTCATCGCATTTTCCTAACCACTTTCACATCCTGCACATTGCCAGGGTGTCAGCAGCAAATAAGTAATTTGTGCTGCCACTGCAAAAGGCATTGGTTGCATTCTAGTTCACTGCGTGTTTGCAACAAGAGCATCTGTGTATTGTGGAGCAACACGTTGGTTTCCTTGTTGCCATGTATAGTCGAAGTGAGCAAAATTCTTTTTGTCCTTGCCCAAACCAAGGCATGCAATAAGCTGATGTCTCTCAAAACCAATAGTCTCCTCCTTTCTCAAGACAAGCAGAATAGAGCTATTGCTTAACAAACTTTGTTTATTCACGCTTAACAACGGCAATTTTTTTATACTATACAAGACTAAGAGCTCAACCTGATTAACATTTTAATTTTTAAGTGCATAACTATTGTGCTGTTGATGCAAAACATAAACTGTGTTTGTAATTGTACCTCATGTTCACATTTTCATTTGATTTCCTGAATAGGAGGCATAGTAGATTATTTTAAAGCACTTATATTAGTGTCCATGGCTTGAACAATGTGTTCATTGAGTTCAAGCACGAGAACACAATGAAGGGTGAAGCCATTCTAGAATGATGGTTTTTGTCTATGCTTTACATCAATAGTTTCACATATTGGCCGCAGCATGCCCTAACAGCCCAAGCACCAAATGCAATGAAAAGGGGATTGTAGCTAGGTGCTTTCCTACAGACAGCAATGAAACGAGATTTAGCTCACCACATTTTATAGTACAGATACGAAAAAATTCTGCCATATTGTTAACAAATTACAAACTGCTGCAAGGCATGATTTTCTGAAACTAAAAGTTTCTTGTAAAAAAAAAAAGACAGGCATGAGGGGGGGGGGAGAGAATAAGTGCACACATTATACTTGTTTTGGGTACACAACTATTCTAAGAGGAAATGTTATATCTGTGCTGATACCTTGCAACAATGTTTACTCACCTGGTTCACTAAATTTGGTATCCGGAAGCAAAGCCTCAATTTCTTTCTGAAAATGAAGTCTAGCTTTTTCAACAGCTTCCTTGTAGTCACTTGCTGTTTTGGCTGCCTCTTTGGCTGATCGTGACTGTAGGGGTAAGACAGTGGAAGAATGTGCACAAATGCTCATTGACAGGTGTGCTGAGAATTAAGTGCTGCATTGCTTTTTTTCACATGTATTTCCCATAATGCATCTACATTTACGTATGCCATGCTCTTAAATCACTTCAAGTGTGTGCCGCTGCCACAGGCCAATTGATACACAGTCACTTGAAGGAGCAAGAAAATGGTTTCCATACAACCAAAGTTTCATCTGTGTAGAGGTGTGCAAATTCCCAATTTTTTAAATGTAAAGGCAATACAAATACATAGTTTCGAATACAAATTGAATATCAAATAATGAAGAGATGCGATTTTTTTTCCCGAGTGATTTTTTTAGAAATTTTTGTTGGGCCAGCTAGTGCATGTTTAACAGAAGGAATAAGGCGAAAATTAAACAAACACAAGAAATGATATGGATGAACGGTGTTCGTCCATGTCGCTTCTCACGTTCTGTTTCGTTTGCGCCTTATTCCTTCCTTTAAGTAATCTTTTACTTCGTCAAGATTATCCCAGGAGTGCTTGCAACGGTTTGGATTGAGAGAGATGAAAAAATTGGCGTGGCAAACACACTTTATCCCACCAAAAACTCAAAAAAGAGAAGCAAAAATCGAAAGCAAAAACAAATACTCGCGAGTACACAAAATGGCTCCAATAATAGCTTGTACATACTCAAAACTCACTGCAGCCCAATCTAAAGGTTGGTTCACACCGGCGACTAGCACTGGTCGCTCGACCGTTTGCGACTGGAGATAAAAAAGTGACTGATGTTCACACCAGCAAACGCTGCATGGGAGCGACCGAAAGTAGCGAACCCAGAGAGAGACATCCAGATCTCGTAATCAGTGAAAACATTGAAGACCAGCAGCGATCAGCTGATCGCCACCAGCCGAGTGAGCGTAACCAGCTGTGCACGCCACATTTATTGTTTTCGACGGCCGCTTTCACGCACCAATCCCAGCCCCATCATTGACTTCGATTCGAGTGAAGAAGAGAGTGTTACGATGTTGGCACAACCGCTGGATAAAAAAAAAAGTGCGGCGCCTCTGTTGCCATCGAAGCGGCGTTTCGGATCAAAATAATGCTGTTTACTTGTTACTCACCTACTCAATCGGTCCTAGTTTACCTCTAAGCGCGCTTCGGCACCAAATCACGTTCCCGGAAAAACGCTTTCGCACACATTCACACGTGTGACAGTGACTCTGCTCAGGCCGTAAATAACGCGTTTCCTAGTTGCACTTTACAGGTTTGATACTGAAGCATTTATTACAAGTACCTGTTGCGCCACATATGTGAACAGTTTGTCCCAATAGTGCCAATCTCTGGTAGAGTGGGCCTCAATACTCTTCATGAATGCTGCCCATATAACTCATCTGAATTGTCACAGATCCCATTAACGGGGAGGCAATTTCCGGGCAGATTCCGAGGGCTGATGTATCGGATCACCGAAACGCACCATGAAAGCATGCACAAGTTAAATCAGCAATGCTGGCTGTAATTCACAAACCGAGCTTTACACACAAACTCGCACACTGGGTAGGTATTGATACTACTCACAAAACCACTTAGAGGGTATTTAATACAACGGCAACAAGTTTACTGCAATTCAAATGCAATCTCACGCATAACAAACTGTACAAGAACACTTTGAGGCCTCGAATGTTCACTAGATGTGTGAATTCCACAATTCTTTGACTGTTTCTCGAATATTTTTCTTCCAGGAAACACTGAAACGAACTCCAGCACCAATCGTCACCCCCACGACACTTTTAAAAACAATGCACTCAAGGAGTCATCACTCGATTCTTCAAAGATAGACTGACCGCACAACAAGACCCACTCCTCTGAAACATAACTTCTTGGGCGACTTCACCTACACGTCCTCCCCTTGGCCACCTCTCGTTTCTATCTTCCTCGGTGTTGCGAATATTCCAAGCGATTATTCGGTGTGCAGCACGTACCACAGTGGCAGCTGTGTGAATGAGTTTCATCTCGCCAGTTTGTCCACGGAAACAGGTAGCTGAGAAACAGATGTCTGGTACTCTCCCGATCTGCATGTGCGTTAGGCCGGCGCATCTGTGGAGACACAGAGGCTGTAGTAGTCTCTCGTAATGCAAGCACTGGGTGCCTCTTGATAGTTTTCTTTTTTCGGTTGTGCACACCCGTTGAGGAGGAACGGTGGGCGTGGTGGTTTGAAGCTGTCGTTTGGATGCAGCTGCGCTTGCCTGTTTCAACACTCATATGTGACAAGAGCTCCTCGCGAGAGGTGGCTAGCCACGCAATCTGCATGCTTCCCGACCTGCACTGACACAACGAAAAGTATATCCGAGAGTAAGTTTCTCGTTTTGAGTGCCTGTAATGTAGAAAACAGATTGAAGATGGAGCTCGGAGGCGAGGAAAAAGAAGTAGCCAGGGGCACGCTCTGCATATTTTTCATTTTCCTGTTCTGTCAACAATAAACCGAAGACGTATCGGTCCTGCGGTCTCTCTGGTCCTTCTCAAACATGGTGCCGTGACCAGGAGGATCTGAAGACAGACGCACAGACTTCAACCCCATTTGCAACAACGGGTTGAAGAACGAAGCAGCGGCGTCTGGCTCAAGGACGAACCGTCGAGAGAAGGACCACGACCGACGACTGTTGGAGACGCACATAAAAAGGCAAGAGCTCTTTCAACACGTTTTAAGCATGAATAAAGAGGTCCTATCGAAGCAGCGGAAGACGCTTCGAGCAAATGTGACGAGCGAAATCGATAAGAAGATAGAAGAAGACGCCGATCGAGCGCAACTTATGACGCTTCTGAACCAGATGAAGAGCGTGTCACAGACGCTAAGACAAGTTAACGAACAGATAGAACCGTTCATCGAAGAAGACGACGTGGAGGCAGAATTTGAGTTTTGCATTATGAGATGAAGATCGTCGCAGCAACGACAAAAATAGAAGAGCAATTACGCGAGTTAGAACAAGCGACGCAACTGACTACGAGAATAGTCACAGAACAGACGAGCTCAGTGCAAGGTACTAACCAAATCTCGGAGACGCAAGAGCTTGTTAAGTTGCCACGCCTTGAAATGATCAAGTTTGATGGGAAAAAAACCAGCATGGCCAAGGTTTTGGCATCAGTTCGAGACATCGGTGCATAACAGAGCGAACATGCCGAAGAATCAAAAATTTAATTACCTTCTGGCCTCTCTGAGCGGGGCGGCTGCGTTCCTCATAGAAGGTTTGCAGTTTTCTGATCAGAATTACGAGCATGCAGTCGCTCTTCTGAAAGAAACCTTCGGACGAGAAGATAATTTGAAAGAAACCTACATAAAAGAGCTTGCAAACTTGGAAGCAGTGAAGAGTCCTAAAGATGTAGATGGGTTGAAGAAACTCTTCCAAAAGTTGCAAGTGAACACACGAGCATTGCAGTCATTAGGAGTGGAAATGGGTAGTTAAGCCACAGTGATAGCTCCTGTTGTAAAATCTGCGCTACCGGTGGATATGAGGATTGAGATGAAGATGAAGGAGTTAAGGAAAGGTGACAACAGACCAGCAACTACGGAATCGGACTCAGCGTCAAGAGACAGCACGAGCAGTTTGAAAGCAATTATGGAGTTTTTAAACATATATATACGCAGCAGAGAAGAAACTCGAGAGGAAAAATACGCCGTTACCCAGTCCCCGCACAGTATGAGGCGGACTAGAACATCTGCGCTTCAAAGCACCTCGATGAAAAAATGCATCTTCTGTGAGATGACTGGACACTACACGGAAGATTGCAGAAGAAGCATTAGTATGCAACAGAAGAAAGAAGCCTTGCTTTGCAACGGGAACGAAGGTGCTTCAGATGCACCAGACCTCACCACACGGCGAAGATATGCCGCGCTAACGTATGCTGCAAAACATGCAAGGGAAAGCACGCGACATCCATGTGTCGACCACGTACGCCTGCAGAAAAGTCAGCACAGCAGCAAAGCGGTAATGATGTTGAGCAAGTGCGTAAAAGCGCGCAACCTGACCGGTTAGACACCAGCAAGTCCTGCAACATCCACGCACAGCAGTCTGATGAACACAAGTGCATACTACTGCAGACAGCCTTTTCATGGACGAAGGGAGAAGACAGCGGGTGCTACGCACGGATTCTGCTGGACAAAGGGAGTCAGAGGACATTCATCCTCAAAAGATTGTCAAGAAAACTAGCGTGCAAGGTAAAAAGATCCGAAAGGATTACTGTAGGATCACTTGGAGGAGGAGAGATGGAACTAGACATGAAAGTCGTCGAGGTCAGCGTCAGGAAGGATCCCATCTCGGAGCCAGTCACGATTGAGGCACTGGAGATAGAAGTTATATCCTGTGACGTGCTACCATCGCCACCGTTGACAATACACGAAAGAGCAAGATCGATGGGAATATGTTTGGCTGATGACAACGAGAAGACGGACAAAGAAAGAAAAAATATGGAAACTTCTATATTAATTGGAGCAGATTATTACTGGACTGTAGTCACTGGTCGCATTTGCGAGATTCATCCAAAAGTAATGGCAATAGAAACAATATTGGGATGGACGGTCCAAGGTCCTGTAGGACTTCATTGTGTGCCGATGAAATCATCGACGGTTATGGTACTCAAGGACAGTGCCAAGTCGGACACGACTGTGAACGAACTGCAGAGATTCTGGGACTTGGAAAACATGGGCATCAAGGAGAAACCAGCAACAAAGATGAACGATGAACATGTGCTAGACTACGTTCGACAAACAATGGACTTCAAGACGGGAAGATACCAAGTGCGGCTACCATGGAAGAAAAACGTGACATTGGACGACAACAACACCATTGCAGAGAAGAGGCTTATCCGGGTGACCAAAAAATTGTGCAAGGATAAAGATGAACTCCTAGCCTATGACAAAGCTATTCGAGAGTACTTTGAGCAAGAAATAGCAGAAAACGTCGAAGAAGATGCTGGATCCGATATACAGAACAAATTTGTATACTACATGCCGCATCAAGCAGTAATTAAAAAGGACCAAACGACAAAAATACGGATCGTCTTTCACGCATCATCAAGCCAGAATCCAGGTGAATCCTTGAATGACAACTTGGAAAAGGGGCCAAACCTAAACCCCGACATCACAAGCTTGCTGATGAACTTTCGACATCACAAGATCGCTATGTCAGCCGACGTGGAAAAAGCATTCTTGCAGATCAAGATACATGAAAATGACCGAGACGCACTGCGATTCATGTGGTGGGAAAGAATACCCAGCGAAGATATGCCAACCCCGAAGATAAAAACATGGAGGATGACGAGGGTTACTTTCGGAACTACACCAAGTAGCTTCCTTCTAGCGGCCACGATTCATCGACATTTGGATAAATTCGAAGAAAAATATCCTGCAGTTGTGGTGCAACTCCGGAAAGGAATCTACGTCGATGACGTTTTACTAGGAGCCGACGAATACTCGACATCGACAAAGATATACAAAGAAGCACGAGATATTTTTCGCTATGCGGGAATGAATTTAAGAAAATGGATTTCAAATGACGCCGAGCACTCTTTGATGAAGAAGGAGAGGATCTGGATCGAGGGATAAGAAAATAAGGACAAATCAAGATTTTGGGACTGAAATGGAATTTCGTAGACGACGTGTTGAGCTTTCCCGACACTAAATGGCGAAATGACAAGGACATGAGACAACTCTCAAAAAGACAGGTTTTGCAGGACACGGCAAAGCTATATGACCCTTTAGGTTTTTTGACACCATTTTCAGTCAGAGCAAAAATATTGCTGCAAAAAATTTGGATGAATAAACTGAAATGGGATGACCCGTTACCAAGCCAGCATAGATCAGCTTGGAAGGACTGGTCGGAGGAGCTTCAGCACTTAGATGACTTCACCGTTAACAGATGCTATGACAACAGGCAAGCTGAAGTGAAAGCATCGACTCTACACGTGTCCTCCGATTCGAGTCCAATGGCGTATGGAGCAGCAGCATACATTGTAACAGAATACTCTGATGGAAGCAATGAAGCCAATTTGATCTTTGCAAGGGGTAGAGTCGCTCCAATCAAAAAGATCACACTAGCAAGATTGGAGTTGTTGGCGGCCACAATATCAGTCAGATTGGCCAGTCATATAACTGAGAATTTCATCAGAAAACTGAGGAGTGAAATTCTGGACTGACTCTCAAATTGTGTTATGCTGGATAAAGTCAAACAAGACGAAAGATCTGTTTGTTCGCAACCGTGCAGCAGAAATTAAGAGCAAGTCCAATGAGAGTCAATGGGGTTATGTTAAAAGTGATGAAAATCCTGCGGATTCGATGACAAGGGGGATGAAGATGAAACGTTTGCTGGACAGTGAATTATGGTGGAAAGGCCCCACGTGAATCAAGAATGAAAAACAAAGGCCTGATTATGACATCATGCAAGAATCGGACAGTGATGACAACAAAGACGAAGAAAAGACAATGGCATGCTTAACTACCACCACGAGTGAAGAAAAGATAATTGATGTGAGCAGATTTGGACCATACAAGAAAGCGTTACGAGTTACCGCGTGGGTGATGTGTTATATAGGAAACCGACGAAAAGAAAGGAAAACATGTTCGCTGACGGGGGAAGAATTGGACAAGGCAGAGTTTGTGCTGATAAAGCAGGAGCAGAAAACGCTACAAACAGACTCTGAGAATACAGTTTGCTGAATTACTGGAGTGCAAGAAAACGGGCAATGATAACATGGTGGACCAGATGGAAAAAGGAGTACCTGAGGGAGCTTAAGTGTGCCAGCAGAAAAACAGAGCGTCACACAAATGTACAAGAAGGAGATGTACTTCTGCTTGGAGAAGCGCGAAAAAGAACTCAGTGGAAACTCTGCAAGGTCGAAAAGATTTTCCCAGGCAAGGATGGACTAGTGAGAACATGCTTGCTTCGTACACCTGAAGGAAAATTAGTCAAGAGGCCGATTCAACTGTTGTATTCGCTCGAAGGTTGCTTCAGTTGAATCTGGCCGGCGGGAAGATGTAGAAAACAGGTTGAAGATGGAGCTCGGAGGCGAGGAAGAAGAAGTAGCCAGGGTCACGCTCTGCACTTTTTTTTCCTGTTCTGTCAACAATAAACCGAAGACGTATCGGTCCTGCGGTCTCTCTGGTCCTTCTGAAACATGTAATATAGCGGAGAATCCATTTTATCTTGCTTTTGATGCGTTTAGCTTCCTGCAAATGCCGCCACGAACATTCGACGCTTTGCTCAAGTTGCTGTGCCCCGCCACCTCCAAGCCGAGTACTTCTTGGTGGCCATGGTGGCACAGAGGAATGGTGGCACAGAGGAACACAGTCATTTGTATTTAAAGGCAATGGGCCCGCACAATGAAAAAAAAAAAAAAGGATGTTAACTAATACTGACGTTTCTTCTGGTCTTCGCTGACTGGTTCCAGCAGTTTTGCAACTGCAGTCGCGCGACTGAAAAATCGGTCGGGAAGGGACTAGCCAAAGCAGTAGCTTTGCGACTGTCTGCGAATGTTTGCAACCAGTTGCAAATGGTCGCGCGACCACTGCTAGTCACCAGTGTGAACCAACCATAAATTTGCTTCTAGCTTTAGTCGCTAGTACTAAGCCAATATGGCGTCTCAACAACAAAACGTCCTTAGATTTGTCGCATTGCCATGTCAACTCTGTGCCCTTTGCTGTGTCGACACTTAGTCGAGTCCTCAGTCGACATTCACCGAGAGTTTCTACAGTCGTGGTTCTCTCCCATTGAATGAGCCGCTCGACCTCATTGCCAGGATGGTTCCGGTCTTCATCGTCTTTTCCGACTCAGGCTCCGCCTAACCCGTCGATGGCATGGTGACTGTGGTGTGGGCTGCATCTGTTCTGGCTCGAAGCGGAAGAGCTGTAGGCCCACCAGGAACTGCGGTGAAAGGCTGCAGCAAGTCCAAGCAGCCTTCAGAACCGGGCGGCACTACTGCTTCCGTCCCTATAGCGACGTTCACCTTCCTGATCTTCACAGTTCGAAGCCCCAACACGTAGTGAGAGCTCATCCTCCGAGATTTTCCATTATGGCTCGGATCGCGTGCCACGAGCCTGCTTGTCCAATCTCGTACGTGAACGTGGCGTGCATGCGCACGATTGGGGTCTCGCACAGTGGCGTTGCATTCCAGCGTCCAGCATGTGCCTCGCACCATTTTACTCATGCCAAACAGTGCTAGCTATTCTGTTCTTGCATGAAAAAACAGCATCATCTCTACTTACCAGGAAGCATATGACCGTGCTATATAGTTGAGCTTGAGACTGTGACATTTTGAGCATAATTCACTTGTTGAACAAACTCTTTTTTTTCCTTACATAGTAGTACTTTTTATCCCCCCCTCCCCCACACACAAAAATTGTACCTGCCGTGATGACTAGCGAGTACTTCGTCCCTAGTTTTATTTCTGCTATGGAATCATTACAACAGAAGTCAAATGTATCAGGTGTCACCTATGTACTTATATACAAACGATTATTAAATCTCTCTAGGTGGTCACAATTTATCTGCATTCCCACGCTATTAGTTTTGGCACGTGCGATTAGAAATTTTGTTGTTTTTCTTTTTTCTTTTAAAATTTCACCCCTGTTCTCATTGGTGTTATGATCAGCCACCACGGATTGGCACTGCTTGGACACATGGGATGATTTCAGCCAAGCTTACCTTGATTTGTTCTGGGTCATGGCTCAAGATAAACCAGAAGCGGCGACAACATGACACTCGTAATTTGAATTCTTCAGGGCCATCTGCTCGCCTCGTAAAAAAAGCTATTAGGACACGCCCAACTGACTGATAGCTTAGGAAGGGCTATTTGAAGTCGGCATTGCTTAGAAAGGATGGTCCCCTCTGCACTGCTTTGTTCATCAATGTACACCAGACAATGGGCCGAGCATTTAGGATCAGTCTTCGGGTACCTTTCCCATTTCTTCATGGCCTGGCCGGCACCGCAGCCGCATTGATGAGTCAACACTGCACCCGACTACACAGTTGGTCTGCATGTCACACACTATGTCCTTGCACTGTGCTGTGTCGTACCACATTATAGCATTGGGTCGTGTGTTGTGCTTCTCCCTCACTGTGGGACGAACTGGGCGTACCTATTCCTTCTTTGCTGGGTTGGGAAGAAAGCAGAGTTTGACCTTTTCATTTTGGGGGCGGAGATGAAGGCTACCTTTTCATTGGACTGTTCTAGACTCAATCGTTTCCCCTCAGAGAGAATCTTGGGAAGACCAAGACTTTAAAACGCAAGTGCTGAGATGCTCAAAGGATGCTACCATCAATCATGTAGTATTGTACTACCTTCAGTATGTAAATACTGCAAATAAACATTCCTGTTATCAGCCATGGACACTCTGCTCAACTTCTCCCTAATAGGCTTGGCTGGTTCCGGTCTTATGGGCAGACTCCCGACTACAGCACCGGTCGAGACACTATGGCAAATAGGAGTGCTTCATACCCTGCCTTCAGTTTGTGATCGCCTCAACAGCCGCGACATGTTGGCAGCTGTTGAAGGATCTTTGCGCATATCCAAGATCCTCCAGCATCCTTAAAATACAAAACATTATACCTTTGGTTTAATCAGTATTGCGTAGAACAGACGAATGGCACCCAAGAGTAACATACACCACCCCAAACTCTTATCTTTTCTTTGCCAGAGCAAATACTAGCATGAGCTGCTTTTCATCTGTTCTGGGCAGCTTTGAAAATGGGCTTAGACTTTAGACTGATCACAAAAACAATGACTGCTGTACACTTGCCTCAGACTCGGCATTTCGAAGTTGGTCCCTGGCGACTGTTGCAGCATGTTCAGCTGGACTGATTGCCAAGTTATTTTGCGTGTCCTTATTTTCTTGGCCTTTCTTGATGGCACTACGGAGGTTTTCTAAGGATTTCCTGAAAAAGAAAAGGTCAATCAAATAGCCACTCAAAAGTCAATACAGGTCAGCCCTAACCAACAACCACAGTAAATACTTGTCCTATGCTCTATCAAAGGAGTACTGACACGAATTTTAAATATTTATGGGTTGCTCTAAATAAGAACACTGAATTCATTAACGCTAAAGAAATTGTGGTAGTGCTTGGGAATGCATTTATTATATTTTCGATACAGCTACCACAAAACAGCTATTTCGGTATTTCGGTATCGAGGCGGCGACTTCCCAGTTACGTGTCAACACCAGTCTGATGTCAAAGGATGACTGAAATTCTCGACACAACAGCTAGTGCGGAGAAATCTGTGCCAACATCAACTATAAATGCCAAGAGATTGATTGATTGATATGTCAGGTTTAATGTCCCAAAACCACCATATGATTATGAGAGACGCCGTAGTGGAGGGCTCCGGAAATGTCGACCAACTGGGGTTCTTTAACGTACATTCAAATATGTATAAATGCTAAGAGAAATTAAAACATGTGTAGTACAAATAATTTACCAGTGCCATTAATTCCCAACTTCAACATTTTCAGGGGTGATAATACTCAATCTTTTTCTAAAATAACACTTTTATTTTTACTTGCTATCACAAGATAGCAGTAGACATGACATTGATGAAATTCCATACAGAGAACTGATATGCTCATTATGCTCATATTGTGGCAAAATGATGAAGATATAGCATTAAAAAATAAGCATTCATACCTAGAGCAAATATATGAAATAACAGCATTTTACAACTGTACACTGTGGCGGCAAGCATGTATAAGCACCTTGCCACTGCAAATACCCTTCTGGCAGACTTTCTATTTGCTCGCATGCATACCTGCCAACCTAGCAGCATGAGATTTTGCAAGACCACTGCGTAGGGGAGGGGGGGGTCTCCCGAACTGCATAATAGGCTCACTTTTTTTTTCAGCATATCTGGCGCCAAATTCGTGGTGCGCCTATTGCACGCGGTAAAATTTCCGAAAATTTTATTTTCGACGACAGAATAGACCATTGATAACGTATATGTCGCTGAAGTCATGAATATCCGCCCTACAGCCGAAACAACTTTTTTGACAAGCTACAGTAGCACAACATGTGGAGCATGCAGGCTCGCGTGTCTGAGAATCGAGGAGGCGATGCATTAAAATTTCCAAAAATTAACATCGGAAGACCTGCATTACCAACGAAATGAATGCGAAAAAAAAAAAAAAAACTACAGATCGTTCGATTTCCCCGGTTTACACCTCCATATCTGAGACAATGCAATCGCATCGCGAACCACCACCCAAAAGTTACAAGTGTCACCACAGCCCTAAATTCCTTCAAGTAGAGCCACCCAAAAGAGTCACGTTGATTCCATACAAAACCACAATATGAGCACCCACGACCGCCACCTAAAAGAACCAACAGTGATTAAGCCTATCCTATGGTTCAGCATATTCCACCTAAAAGAACGAACAGTGATTAAGCCTATCCTATGGTTCAGCATATTGTCCCGGGAAGCTTGTACGAGACAACACGGAGATTGGTGTAGAAAAGATCACACTCAAGCACTGATCCAAGAGCAGTGCACGAAATACGATATTTAGGTTCGCAGCCAGAAAATGAATGGTGACACGAGTCTGTTGAGCTTGTGCAAGTCTGAGATTCAGCAAATGCGAAAGCTTGCAGTAGCAAGCCAAAAAGCTTTTAAGTTTGTGTACGAGGTAGCAAACGCGATAACGATCACATTCTTTCTGACAGGAAACTCAATGCACACTTGATGAGAAGGCAATAGCGCGTTCCATACGGAGCGCGCACAGCCAGCTAGCGGTCGGAGCTACGCCTGCACGTCTGTGCGAAGGTTACTTCGATGCCCAGGCAACCTAGGCAACTGCCCTTCTTCCTCACTCGGCAAGGCCGCGAAGCTGGCACAGCACTGCCATGGTCATTTTTTGTTTCCTTTTTCCTCGCTTCAGCTGACGTGAGAGGACATCGAATTGCAACCATGCAAATACAGTACAGAACTACTGATCGTGGCCAAGTTCGGGGTGTGCCTATTATGCGTGGAAATAAAAAAAGTGATTGCCGTGACCCAAACAGGCGGTGTGCCTATTATGCAAGTAAATACAGTATATCGAGAATTATTGAAACCGAGACATTTGTGACCCACTGTTGATTATATGGGGTTTAACGCCTCAAAACCAGCATATGATTATGAGATGCCGTAGTGGAGGGCTCCGGAAATTTATACCACCTGGGGTTCTTTAACGTGCACCCAAATCTGAGCACATGGGCCGGCAGCATTTTCACCTCCATCAAAAATGCAGCCGCTGCAGTTCCAGATTTGATCCCACGACCTGAGGGTCAGCAGACTCTCTGTCATGGCTTCCATCCAATGCGATTGCGAAAGCACGACATTTCAGAGCATGTGTACATTTTGGGCATCCCAGCCACTTTCCAGACAATGGCAGTTCTCATACATCCGCACCCGTACTGCTTCACGTCCTCTCACTTGGGGAACATTTTCTGAAACAACGGTTCGGCGTGATCACGAGTGCTTAGGAGCAAGTTGTGTTCCGCAAGAAATCCTGTGAATAGGCATTCATGCGGATTGCACTTCTGTCATGTGATGTGCACCTTCTGTCAAGCGATGTGCACCTTTATTTAGGCCTTGCTGCTGAGTGAAATGCTCACATTACAGGTGCACATGGTACAGGATCCGTACTTGTCACCTTTCCGCAAAGTCACACAGCCCGGAAACTCAGCTGTGTACGAGTCCAGAAACACCTGCGAGTACTTCTTTGCTTTTGACATTGCCATCAACCTTCCAACTGAACTCGGCGAAACAATCAACCCTCACAACCACATAACAAACACAACTATCGCCTAGGCAAGTGGCGCAGGCCTAGCATGCGAAATGCAGGAGTCAAGACAGACAGATGCAAAAGTTGTACATTTTGCCTCGCCTCCACCCACATGCGCAGTTCTATAGTGCCTGAAATATCCTTAGCAATACTCAATGATATGGTGACAACTAGAAGTTTAGTGCCGTCTGCTCTTTTGCTGCACCATCACAGCAGGAAACACTGATGTATGCGCATGGTTAAAAAACTGTCAAAGCAGCCACATTCCGGGAGATTTGAAATATCATTCATACAATCGGGGAATTAGGTCAAAATTTGGGTCTCCTGGACAATTCGGAGAGTTGGCAGGTATGCGTAGGCTTATTTTAGTAGAGTGACCATCCTATCAAGTGTGATGTTGAGTAAATTATTGGCTACGCATTTTGTCTGCAGCATGCACACACGCTAGCAGAGGACAGCACAGCTTTGTTTAGTATGGTATAGTGAGGAGATGGGAAAAGATTGTGAGGAGGAGGGAAAAGAGGACAGGAGAATGAGTACGAAAAGAGTGATAAAGGAGAATTAGAAAGAAAAAAAGAAAGAGAATAACCAAAGAGAGAGAAACAGAGAGAAAGAAATTCGTTCAGTGAACTGGGAGTGTGAGAGCACACACAAGAAACAGAGAAGGGGCACACAGAATCATCTATGTCTCTTTTGAGTGTTCCTGCACTCTCAATTCGCTGAACGAATATGAACTACCAACTAGCCCACCTTTCTGTCCTGTTGCAGAGAAAAAAATATATAAAGGATAAAAATAGAAGTGCAAAGAAGAGAAAAATGCAGAAAAACGGAGAGGGAAATACTCGGAAATATGTTGGCTGACTGTAAACAGAAAACTTCACAAAGTTGCAAATGTGCGTCCTTGACATAAAACACCTAAATATTCCCTTTTAGATGTGGTTTCTTGTGCAAGAATACTAATTATATTGGTACATGAGTGGAGATTTGTAATTCAATATCTCAAGCGCAGTATCTTGACTGCATCAATGTAGACCGACTTGTAAAGGGCCACATGTGTGGCACTTGAAATTGACAAACACACAAGTTTGCAGTTGGACATGCTTGTAGTATGGCCAGTGGTCTTACCACCAATGGTCTTACCACAAGGTGGATTGTAGTATGGCCCGTTCGGCCTTAAGGTTTCATATTTGCAGAAAGCAATCGTTGGTTGGTACAAGCAGTTTCGTGATCTTCGCTCGCTCTGTGCTTGTAAGCTGCGATTCCTTGCACTTGCATCGTTCATGAATCCTGCTGTGGCGCACAGACAATTTAAAAAGACTAGATGTGCCACATACAAAAAAGAAAAAAAACCAAAGACCTACAACCAGCAGCGAGCGAAGGGAGTGAACTGAAGGAGGTCACCATTACAAAAAAACGGAAAAATCAACATGCAAGGAGGCACCACGTGTCAGTTCATAGGACTGCAGCGGATGAATCTATGGGGTGCGTTTATTATGCGAGAACAAAATTAAAAACGCAAATTTTGATAACTGAAGTTGGTGGTGCATTTTTTATGCGCTTGCATTCATTATGCGATTGTATGTAGCTTGATGTGAACTTTAAGCTGCTTACTTTATTTTACTTCAGAATTATTCAACACTATATTTATATGTAAATAAATTCAAGTGTAACATTAATGTAACGACACATTCCAGTTTTCAAAATGTAACTGTAAGGCATTCTTTTCGCATTACAGGAGCTTCTAGTGGAAACTCGTTCCAGATTTAAAAGGAATAAGTTATAAGCTTTCATTTTTGTTGTAGAGAAACGTGTACAACACTAATTACCGAGAAGAAATATAAACCATTGTTGGTTTATAACCATAAAGGTTGATTCGATTGATTGATTGATATGTGGGATTAAACGTCCCAAAACCTCCACATGATTATGAGAGACGCCGTAGTGAAGGGCTCCGGAAATTTCGACCTCCTGGAGTTCTTTAGCGTGCACCCAAATCTGAGCACACGGGCCTACAGCATTTTGGCCTCCATCGAAAATGCAGCCGCCGCAGCCGGGACTCAATCCTGCGACCTGCAGGTCAGCAGCCGAGTACCTTAGCCACTAGACCACCGCGCTAGAGCATAACCATGAAGGTTAAAAGGCAGAAAAAGTGTGTCCGAACAAACCTGAATTTTACCCATTACCATGGCACAAAACAAAAACTATACAGCTTCTAGAAGAAGATCTGTTGATGGGCTAGTTGGTACATGTCTTGATATACACCGAGTATGAGCAGCACAAGGAAATGAAGACAAGAGAACAGGCATAAATGACAGACTCACACAGTTGCAAATCAGTGCCAGTCTATATTGTTAATGCATTTTTCTTTGTCTCCTTCCATTTCATTGTGCTGTACATACTCAGAATATATCAAGATATGCAGTTTACTATAAAACTAATTATATTTATCAAATTTACATTAAAACCTGTGTAAACAGCTAATATTTCATTGCCCTAGGCAATAGAATAAATCTGTTTTTTCAAATAGCATCTCCCCTTAAGGTTAAAATGTTACATACTAGAGAATCACACCCCGCAAAACCATATCGGCAACACAAGTCCTCCACTCACCATGCCTGTTCACTTTTCACAGCAGCCTTCTGCACAGCAGCCAACTTTGCCTCTTTTGCTTGCAAAGCTTCATCCCACATGTACTGGTCTTCACTATCCTGCAAAGTGATTGACACTAGGCTCCCTTCTCTACAGCATGCCCAGATGAGCAGGCTAAAAGAGGACCCGCATCCTTTTCATGCAGAAAATGTTGAATTCTTCACCCAATAACAAAAAAGATTGAGGGAAATATGAAAAGTACTCAAAGCACCACCAGGCTATTTTCAAAGAATGTGTGTCCCGACACAGATGCGGCGTGAACCACAAGCTATGATCATATTTGGCAACCATTGTGCTGAAACCCCCTGTAGAGTTGTTTGAGCTGCATGGCGCACGTGTCTGACCCAAAAGCCGCATTTCGAGTTACAACCGCTAGGCGATAGATGGCGTTGTGTTCGCGTTGAGTACCGTTGAGTACCACTATCATCGTCATGATTTGTATAGTGGAAGTGCTGGCGGTAACCCCTGGCGGAAGCAAGCCTTGGTGGCGGACGAGAGTTGAGAGAGTCTCTTCTGCACGTGGCACATGCCGCGAACGGTTGTCTCTAGCGGGGGTCCTCGGCGCGTGGCACCGTGGGCCGCGCGTCGGGGGACCCTCGTGGTAAGTCAAGCGTCGGAGACGCCGCCTTGGGTGGGTTAATGTGTTTGTCGTGTTATTGTATGTTTGTTGTGTTATTGTGTTTGTTATGAAGTGTATGGTGGTAGTGTGTACTGATGTTCTAGTGTGTTAATTACGATTGATGTATCGATTCAGCGGATGATATCGTCATTGTAAATTAGTTAAATAAATGTACGTATGTGTTTGTTTGCCCCAACTGCGTCTGTTGTGTCCGTTCACTCCAAGAGCATGGCGTGGCTCGTTCGCCAGTTTCGAGACCCCACACCCTGCAGCATAAAAATTCGGCAGACAGCAGGGGGGGGGGGGGGGGGGGGGGTACGAAAGAATGGCATTTCAGAGCATCCACCATTATGTGTTTGACATTTGCAATAACTTTTCGACCATGGCAGGTGTTTTAGTACGTCCACACCAGTACCGCTTCGCGTCCTCGCACTTCTGGAACATTTTCCAAAACAACGGTCCTGCGTCATTACTAACGCTTAGCGGCAAGTTGTGCTCTACAAGAAATCCTGTGAACACACATTATGTGTGGATCCCACTGTCTTCGCCACTCTTTTGGAAAAAAAACTTCCAATGTTGCCCCACCCTTCTACAGCACGAACGTAGTTCTATTGCTTTTGTGAAGCGATGTGGACCTCAAGTCCGCCTTGCCTTCGCCCAGATGCGGGGTACATATACTTTTCGGTACTCTACGGTATGATTACTGTGAACCAAAAGTGCTGAGTGCTCTTCCACAGCACCCCAAATATAGCTGCAGAAGATACCGACGTGTGCGCATGAAATAAAAAAAAAAACCCAGCTCGGCTGTGGCGGCCACTTTTCAGTAGATTCCAGATAGCATTTGTACAATAGAGAGATTAGGACAAAATTAGAGTTCACTGGTATGTGTGATGCATCATCTGTAATGTTCTTTCAGTTTTACTTTTTTTTTCGAGATGAACACATGCACCAGAGAACTATATCGTACGGTGTCACATCTGTCTCTGCGATGTTTTGTTAACATCAGTGTTCGCCCTGTTTTCCTAATATTTCGGTATGAGGACGATTATCTAATGTTGGTAACTTCAAACAGATGTGTAGATTCGCACCTGAATGTGCTCAAAATTTGTAAGGGCGTTGGTGCAGGTTTGCAGTTCACCTTCAAGCTTCTTAAGGACCACTGCATTCAGTTTTTGGATCTTAATGTGTTTTTCAATGGCAGTCATACCAGCTGAATGTATGTTCCAAAAAGCGAGAAGCCTGTCCTTGATTTTCGTTTTCGGAACTCTAAGGTGGTAAAAAATGCTGTCGAAACAACATGTTTGAAGGCCACATTCAAGAAATCTTGTCTGCACAAGATGGAGGAAAGCCTTGTGAGACAACTGGACAGGCTCAAGTCGTCCAGGTTTCCTGAGACCATGGCGAGACTGGCCAAAAGGGTTTTGCAAGACATGGAAGGTGCAGGCAAGAGGATCTGAGCACAGAAGGCACCCAAAGACACTGCCTGTTCCATACCTACATGGGGTCTCACACTTTTACAGAAAGTGGGAGCAAGGTACAGTTACAATGTTTTGTTTCCAGCTGGCAACCATTTAGGCAGCATTAGCATGGCTTTAGAGAGGAAACTTGAGGGTGAGGAGCAAGGCAAGGGTGTATGCAATGCCAAGCACAGGGCTGAAGTGGTTGAATGCACCACTTGTGTGGTGTACGACACTCCACTTTAGTGTGAGAAGTGTTATGTTGCACAAACTGGGCATTGTGTAAATACTACTATGTAACAGGCTAATGGATCACAAAGCTTTGCTAAAGAGACAACCGTGTTCTAACCTTTCTTTGCACAGTAGTGAATGTGGCTACGCATCCTTGTTCGGCAATAAGACAGTGAAATCTAGATTCAAGAATTAGGTAGAGCGTGAAATCTAAGAAACCTACTTCATCAACAAAGCAGGTGATGCATGTGTTGCGAGACCCTGTCACATTACTTGCCGCTGAGTTAGCCCTCCTGGAAGCGCATCTTCAAGACAACCTCTCTGCTCATCTAACGATTTTATCAACATGTGTTCATCTAACCACTTATACATGTTTGTTTTTGCAATAAATTCTGTTAATAATTTGTGCCATGTTTTGTATTCCTCCCTTTGTTCTATCCTTTTTTTTGTGCACCACTGTGTTGATGGGACAGAAAGGAACGAAATTTCTCTAATGTTAGCTAAGTACCCCATTTTGCAATACGGAAAACATCATTCTTACCACGACACAATACTTGGCGAGCGAGGAAACGTGCAAAAAGAAAATGCAGGTGGAGAGGCCACCTTGAAATTCCCACACCAAACACTGCGACATCAATTTTTTTTTTTTAATCTGTGAATTGTAACTTTTTGCTTGTTCATGCATAGAAATATTTGCGGCCTTTGTTGCTTCTAACTAAAAATTTGCGTTTTTATCTCAATGACAGTCGTAAACAAAGCTGATTGCCTGCCTACAAAGCACTCTAACTAGCCAAACTATGTGCACCAATAATTAATTGCACGTTGACTTGTGGCCTTGCACTATCACATGCCGAGTACTTCTCAAGGTCACTTTAGCCGCAGTGTACTGGCGTCATAATGAAAAAAGTACTAAAGAGTAGGAAGGGTCTACTAAATGTTATGGGATGCAACGTGCTTGTCCCTTAATTACACACTCATGCACATGTTGCATAACAAGTGCTAGCATGATTGCTGTCGGGTAAAGACTTTAGTGGAAATCATGGAGCACTCTCTATGTTGTGGCACTGAGAAACACAGCACAACACTAGTTAATGTGTGGCCTCGTGTCCTATTTATGACAACTTCTGACAATGCAAACAAAATGATGAGAACCCCGTAGCACTTAAATAATTGTGAGTCTACTGCACTTGGCCCTTTCTCAAAACCCAATATATGTAGATATGAATTGTGGATATGAATATGAACTAGTAGATATGAATTGTGGGAAGCATGTATGTACCCTGGCTTCATCGATGGCTCTGTACAACTTGCGAGCGTATATCTGCGCAGCTTCCTTGGCTTCTAACTGTGCCACCACTGCATCCTTGGTGTGCCTCTCCAAGTCCAGTTGAGCCTCACGAAGTGACTGCTCCAATGCTGCAAAACACCGGAAGCTAGTTTTGTAGCACATCCTTTTAAATGTCAAATACGGATGTTTGAGTGATGAGGGGAGGTGCAACTGAGGTGCCTTTCCGCCACCAAAAGATGACTGCTACCTTGCAAGCTTTTCCTGCATTATTGGCACGTGCACGGTACTTCTAGATGACAAACGGCAAACCGCTATTGGCATGACATAGCACTTAAAGGAGCACCGACATCAAATCAGGGTGTCTACCAATTTGCTTTTTTTTCGGAATTCCCCGACTTTTTCAGGTTTTCCATGATAATTCAAAGCAAATTCGACAACCCTTATGTCTTCTTGAAAAACTGTGCACTAGAAACAGACCCTCGAGTGATAAAAAAAAAAAAAAAAATCAGGCACTCCTTTAAAATAAGTAGATAAATGAACCATGATTGCTCAGAACATTCTGAGCATGTGCGCTAAATAAAAAAAAATATATATCCTACCAAAGTGAAACCTCTGAGTGAGAGAGTAAGCAAGTTGGCTGTTTAATATTTGGAAGAACCAGAAAGAAAACACGCGAGTTAAAATTAACCACAATTAAACGTTTGAAGGAGCTCACGACAGTCCTACAATGCAGCCGAAGTTACTAGAAAATGTGAAAGTGGCAACATCTCGTGGCATCTGTGTAAAAGGAGAACGCCGGAGCCCAGCCGGTTCCGCCAGTGGAATATATTCTAGTTCACTATAGACAGTTTTCTGCGGCTAGTTCGTCTATGCAAAACTAGATGGCGCCATTGCACCAAAGCGCCACGACCTTCTTGGCGGCGCGGCTGCAATGTGAAGTGTGGCGGGCGTTGCCCTGCAGCTTACGGCAAGAAACGGTGGTGGTAGTAATTTTTGAAGAAGGAAAAGGCGCCTGATTTCTGTCAGTCTTAAAGCGACACGACGCAGTGCCTAAAGAGAGAAAAAAAAAAAGAGAAAGAACCGGGCGGCGAGGACTATGAGCTATGCCCGCTTTGCTGGACTTCAACCTAGGAGCAGCGGCGGCGGCTGATCGGCCGGCCATCGGCTACGGTGAAGAAGTGGAAAGAAGGCCATTAGGTCACATGTTTAAACATGGCAGCGCCCTTTCTCCGATGTGGAAATTCGTCTATAATGGTTACAGCCCAGGCCGCTTAGGATGTCGATTGGATCATATTATCATGGGGTCATATTATCATGGGGACGAGGACAAAGGGAGCAGACTGGGTGTTAAGATTAAACTGTTTATTCCACCCAACTTGTGGCCACATAATGGCAAGTCAGATTACAGCAAGACACTGGCACTGATAGCGGCGAGCAGAGCGTTGGCCATTGATCAACTGACAAGCGGGAAGCGTTCAGGCATTTATACACTTGTCATCGAATATTCTAGCGTTATCGTTGGCAGCGTGGTAGGTTCCAGAATAATCTGTAATGTTCACAAAGTGGGCGTAATCTTAACAAAATGATCTACAATAACCACGAACCTTCAAGAGTGTAAAGAAGAAATGTTCAAGGCATTATTGACCTGTATTTACTCACCTAACTATTTAGGAAGTGGATCGGATTGGATCTGATCCGACATGGACTGCTATATTTACTATTAATTTGCATCCCCATTTATATTGCACAGCTCTAGTATATACTTTTCAGGAAAAAAAGAACACAAATGCTTGCGTATTTCTGTGCACCCTGCATTGAACAACGACTAGCAACGTTGCAAGAACGCAGCCTTACTTCATATTTTCTTTCTCTCATTCTTTTCTTTTCCACGACGAGCACATGCATGTTGTTTCATTTCTCTGGGCTCCGATGCTTAGAGTTCGACAAAGTCCTCAGATGCCTGCAATGAAAGCTAGGGGTAGTGTTTAAAGTGATGTTTGAACATGTGCTGGCAAGAAGGAATCTGTCAGGGCGCAACAGCTCTCTTGATTGCATAGATTTATCACAGATGCCAGCGGGTTACCTTCGTTATTGTACTCTTCTATGGATAAAAGGCTAAAAAGTAATCACAGATTTAATAATACCATCTGAAGAAACTGAGATGAGAAAATAAGAAGTTTTCCAATTTTACCCTTGAAACACGAGCTACCAGCAATAAATGTGTAGCTGAAGACGCTAGCCGTTGAATCGCCAATACAATATTTACTCACGTAATGAACGCACTCACATAATAAAAGCACCCCCAACTTCAGTCATCAAAATCTGGGTGTTTTCCCACCGCGTAATAAACTAAACACAACCCCTACATTCATCCACTGCTGTCCCGTTAACCTACACCAGGCACCTCCTCACCCGTTGGATCTCTTTCGTTTTTTATTACACCGACGACGGTCGCTTCCTGCGACCCCCCTGCTTTTCTTTTTAGCCTACCTTTATTTCTTCACTCTGTCCCTTCTGTTCCGTCATTCCACCTTCCACCATGAGTGCACGCTTTTGGGCGTCCCTCGAGACCACAAGAAGATACCACTGTTGTGGTTAAACGATCGATTGCAAGAAAAAATAGTCACAAAGCATTTATATGGTATGGGCGGGCGGCCCGGGGAGAGCTAGAAGAAGATGGCACCATCAACCACCGAAGATGAGAAAGGTGCAACAAAGAAGCTGTTCCCAAACAGTGTATGCGTATGTAAAGTGCAAAAGGCTAAGCGACCCAACTTTTTTATTTGCATTACCGCATTTTTTCCTTCTCCCGAAAAAGTTTTCATAAAATTTACCCCAAGTAATAAACGCACCCCTCTACTTTGCTCCCATTTTTTTGAGAAAAAAAGTGCATTCATTACGCGAGTAAATAAGGTAATAATCATGATAATAATAATAACAAAAGCCATGACATAGCCCGGCAAACCTCAGCTAATGGCAGTCCTAGCCGAAGTAGAAGATCTTCAAGCCAAGACAAATCATGGTGAAAACAAACATGCCCAAATTTAACAACGTAAAATAAGTTGTGGTTGGAAAGTCAGATATTCTGTGCGATATGTAGAAGCAACAGACATCAACATAGTGTATGCAAGAATATGGAAGCTAGGGAACGCTTTAGACAATGTGAAGGACGAGTTCCCAAGCAAAAATTTCCACCGTCTTTTTACTTTACGCTGCCACAATTGTGACAACCAGTACATCGGTGAGACCACTGATTTCAAAAAAAAGAGTTAAACAAAACATGAATATGACGTCAGGAAACTACGCGTGACCTCATGTGTCCTTGCTAAACGTGGATTTTACAGCCGACCAATTGACTGGTCAGGTGTGCATGTTCTGGTGAGAAAAAGCTTGTATCACGCCTGCACCTGGAACACCAGCAGATACAGACAACTGCACATATGCTGAACAGGAGTGATGGGACACTTCCAAATATGTACTTCTGGTGCTTACATTACGTACTTAGGCGTACTTGATTTATTTTTTTCATTTTTAGTTTATTGCTTTAAAAAAATTTACAAGATCAACAAATATACAGACGAGGGTCCCAAAGTAAACAAAAAAAAAAAACTAGTAAGACACGGCACCTTTCTGATGGCTATTTTTGTGAACAAGGCTCCCATAGTGGGTGCCATAATGTAGTAAACTTGTATTCTTTTGGTAGGTGTATCCTTCCGCGTCTTCACTAAAAAGCAACAGTTGTGCACTTTTTTTTTTTTTCACAACACTCCTGGCTGTTCACTGTAGTTGCAGCTGAAGGAGTGGCTTTTTAAGTTTTGATCAATGGTAATGCTTATTTTTGTAATGGTCACACAGGCTACAGTCAATTTCCATGACCAGGCCAGATTTTTGAGAACTTCCTCGACTTTTCCAGGTCTGTAGATATCCTGTCAAATTTACTCATGTCAAGATTTTTGCGTCGAGTAGCTATCGACCCCCTAGTAGCGATTCACAACCTATAACGCAACTTAGGGCCAAATAACTATTGGTTTTATTGACTCGTATCACTGGTATCTCGCACGATTTAAATGGGCCAGCAATCCTGCCATTCTTAGCGCTTGGAGTTCTACCAGTGGAGCTAGCCACAGCTGACCCCTTCTCCACACAAAAAGGGTGACATCAGGCCATGCTGCCCTGAAAAAATTTTGTCTGCTAGGCGCATACATTCAGTTATGCCTTGTCACCTGCATTGCCGTTGCCTTGAGCAAAATCTTGACTAGGGTCCAATACGATAGTTTGGAGCTTGGCATCGCCGCAATTCGAGGAGTCTCGAATCATTTTTGCTTCGATCAACCATTTCCAGAACAGCGATTCCAAAATGAATGTCATTCTAAGCAGCAATGAGGAGGTGCCCGAGGATGCAAGCTTCAGCCATGCTCGCTCGTGCGTCTCCATTAGCTATGTTGGTGTGTGTGGCGTGCCCAGCATTCAGGTATACACAAAAAGGTCAATGAAATAATGTTATAGGGGAAGCGCACCAGCAAAGAAATAAAATACGTTTACTGCAACGTTAATAGAATGTTCACTGCTACCAGGTTCTTCTTTGCGCCTCCAGATGGCCCCACCTATCCGGCTTGCCGCGGTAGCTCTGGCAGTAACCCGCTATTACGCGGATGCAAAAAAGTCTACGGATGAACTAAAATTCACAATTAATTATACCTGCATGTTACTTGTTAGCGATGATATCTATCTACATGCCGCTCCACTTGGATAGCTTCTGGTTGTGTTGGCGTGTAACATACGTATAATGAAAAGGCACCTTCATTGTAGTTTTTCCGCGCTTCGAACCGGACGACTGCAACTCGCGATGGTTCCCCGATGCCCTGACTGACGAGCGCACGTTGAATCATGCTCTTTTTTTGCCGATCTTATATGGGCAGTTTGCATCTTGGCGATTTCACTAAATCATTGAAAGCAATGCGACAAGATTACACATGATGAGTGAGTGCGTTTACAGACTTCGGCGTCAGTCAGCGCTAGGATAACAACACTCCGATCGTAGTCGCCATCGCTACTAGCGTATCGTCACTCAGGATGGTATGCGTGGAATGTATCCCGCCGAACACGTAGCACTAGCGTTGATGTCGCAGGGGCAGTCCCTGTTCCATTAGCTCTTCGTACACTGTTTGCCGTCGAAATATAATAACTTTCACTCAACAGACTCGATTCAAATTTGGCCAAGAGGACCTATGCACATCGAGCAATCAAATGAAGGGCACATCCCGATTTTGAAATTTGATGTCAATGCTCCTTTGAAGTAGATAGAACACAGTTTGAGAAAGAAAATGCCAGAAAGCCAGATTCCTATTATGAAAGAAACACTTTCAAAATACACCCATTTGGCTTAGAGTGTAGTGTGGTACTGAGTGTGGAAAAAAAATTACATAACAGGGCTGTGGCATGACTTCCAAAGCCAGTGTGCTGACCTCTCAAATGAAGCAAGTTTAATGAGGCCCTGCATCTTTTTGAAAAGAGGTTCCAATAGAAAATATCTTTATATTGATGTAACCTAGGTATTAAGAAAATCTGGTGTGGAAAAAGATGACTGGGACTGGAATGAGCCAAACTTTGCTATAACGAAATTAGCTATAATGAACCAATGTTACAAACTTTAATTCACCCCTAATGTAAGTCAGGTGACGTTAAATGATTATTCAAGTATAAGTAACACTTTCTTAATAGCACAACGATATAATGAAATGTTAAGCAGCTTTTAGCACTGTTTGGTTCACAAAAGACCTTTTACAAATTATTCAATTAATTAAATTTATCGCCACAGAGATGCTCGGCGACAGCTCACCTATCTATTATGATGCTGCCGGTGGATTGGATGTATGTGTGGGCCGCGACAGAATTGCTATATTTAAAAAACCCCGCCATATGTTTTCGACGACGCACTCAAAACAAAACTACCGCTCGTCATCACTAGCCATGCGATAATAACAACCACACGTCGTGAAGGCGCACACATGAGCAGTCCCAGTGTTACTTCATTCTGCCGCCACCGCTGTGAATACAAATGTGGTCGTGTCGAACGCGATCATGGGCGACCGCGAAAGTATGCGCGCACTCAATGCAAACCAACTCAACCCAGTATTTTTTACCGTAGCAACGCGAACAAAGATAACAACGACGCAGTTTTTAGTCACGCGCACATATTGAAAACGGAACTAGTGTTTGCCACAACCGCTGCGCAGGAAACCGCGGTCGCTATCGTCTTATTCATCGATAGCGAATATGCTCCGAAGGTGCGGAGTTAACACAGCCCATAGATTAAAAGTAATAAAGCCATTAAATGGCAGGAAGCATTACAGCTTTCCTGTCGTTCACATATGGCCACGGACGGCAGTGTGGAGCTTCGTCACTTTTCAGTTGGTTATCAGTTGGCCTCTAGCGAAGCTATGGCATGCTCGTTCGCAGCACTGTGCACTTGGCAAGCTCAAGGGTCGCCTGAATATCATATTTCCTTCTGTGTAACCCACCTTTGCATATAACTGTCACCTTCGACTGTAAACCGCGGGAGGAAAAAAAAAAACAACCCGCGTATTGACGCAAGGCAGCCTTTTTTGCATTGCCGTGAATCCCTGCCGTGAAGCCATCTTGCACGCACAAAATTCTTGTATAACCGGCACCCCGACTTCAGCTCCAAATTTTCTGTATATTTTGATCCCATTATACACGAGAAAATACTGCCACATTCCATTTTCAAAGTTTTTGTTATCGTCCCAAAACACCACACGATTCTCAGCGCAAACCGCGCCTGCAGTTTTCGAGAAGGTTCCGGACTGTAGTAGATCATTTCGATAAGATCACGCCCACTGTGCGGACGGTACAGATTGTTCTGGAACCTACGCCACCGCCAGCGATAACGCTAGAACATTCGACGGCAAGAGTATAAATGCCGACGCGCTTCGCCGCTTGTCAGTAGTTGATCGAAGGCCGACGCTCCGTTCGCCGCTATCAGTCCGAGACTGCTATCTGTGCGAGACTGCTGCTGTAATTGGACTTTCCGTTTACCGGGCACAGGTTCGCCCAAATAAACAGTTAAATCCCAACACGAAGTCTCCTGTCTTCGGCCACGTCACGACCCCGTGACAATACGTTAACTCAGTGTTCAGCCAGGTACGTCCGATTTGGCGAGGGTTCAATGCATGCGCTTGCTGGGACCAAAGGACTAGTCAGAATTTCATCAGATCTTACCAAATTTTGTGGGCTATAGATGAAATTTCGCTAAAACGAAATTTCGTGGCAATAGAATTTTTTCACGCATCCCGTAAATTTCGTCGTAGAGGAATTTGACTGTATTTCCATTTTTAATGTGCATGCCCTGACTGCGCATGTACCTTAAAAACCAAGTCGATTTTAGCGGTCTATGATTGCATCTGCCACAGTTTTGTTTGCAGCATTTGCAGAAAGCAATGTCACTGACTGGTCGAGCGTTGGACGATCGTGCACTTTCGGAGTTCTGACAGTTGTTGCAGCCATACACGATCATGTCTACAGCAACCATGGTTTCGTCCACAGCTCTTTGGGCAAACGATAAGCAGTTCTGACAGTGAGTGCGCTGGCCGCACACGTCCTTCTGAAACTTCGAGCACACTGATGTCGGCCTTCCTAATTCGTTCAATGGCTTTGGTACTAAGGTTCATATGACCAGCTGTGACGAGGAAAAGTGTTCGGAACTTCTGTATTTTGGCCCAATGCACATTGTGAAATTTGACTGGGAAATTTCACGAATTTGTATCTGTCAGTTTCGTATCATTGAGATTCTACTGTATGTTTAAAGTTAATGCCTCCTAAATTCATTTATAATAAAATGCAATGGGTTCACAAAAAACCTGGATCGCATTGGGCTGCATTTTTCTTAATCCGGTCAGATCACGCACAGAAATTTCAATTTCAGGGATACAGTAAACTCTCAGCAAACAGAACCTGAAGGGACCGGGAAAATATGTTCCATTGAACAGGAGTTCCGTTTACTGAAAGATGAACATGGGTGCAGAATGCAAGCCTGAAACGAAGTATTGCAGAGGCAATAGTTCTGTTTAAGCAGTAGTTCCATTCAACAGATTTCCGTTTACGAAGAGTCTACTGTATTTTTCTGACAATCATATATACGTAAGAACTGGTCGATATCCGTGAGTCTCTTGTAAAATCCAGGAGACTTGGCAGGTATTTAGCTTTCCTTCTTTCACTCATGATCTCATTATCTACTGTAGACACCCCATGTGTTACAGCCAAAAGACATGTATGAGCTAAGTTACGTTAGAAGCTAAATTGGCAGCCTAGCCCGTTCAGATTGTAACCTAAATTGTCTGTCTGTCTGTATATTTGTCTGTTTGTCCACTCTTAACCTATTAAAAGTATTATGCGCTATGCCAAAAGTGCACCTGGGCAGATAGCTGCACATACTTATTCTGGCAATGTTGACATCAATAAGTCATACTGGCACATTCATTTGTTGGTAGTCACTTCCTCAACTTGGTTCTTTCTCGATGCTTCCAGCAAAGGCCGCAATCGCATGAAAGTCCAAATCATTCATCAACCAATCCCCACCTTTCTGAAGAAAACAGGAAACCATTTGCGGCACATTGTGCAACTGGGAGGTTCAGTGGCTCTATAAGCTTTTATGGCACAAAAGTTTATCACATTAGGCTGGGTACGCACTAACCAATAGGCATAAAATGAAGCATTACAGTTTATGTGGTCAGCAAATGCATCGGGCTCTACGAGACTGTCATGGAATCATCGCAACTATGTTTTAACCGTTCATATCTTTAAATCTGGTATGTACAGCTGAATCCCTTTATAAGAGACATGCACCGACAGCAACTCTTGCCTTCTATATGAAGTATCTCTTGTAAGCAAGGTACCATGTGTGCTTTTTCTTGTCAACATTTGTTGAAATGTAGCCACATTGGTGTCTTCTATGCCCATCGGTCTCTTTCTTCCGTTTCTATTATAAAGGTGTTCGACTGTATTAACAAAAAGTGACTGTACAAAAGAATCTGTTGTATGCAAAACTCAATCAAGAGTTGGAAAGATCAACATACTTCTGGAAGTGGGTATGATATATCTGAATCTTTTATTTTGAAGCCCTGTCATTATAAGATTATACTGTACTCAACATAGCGTATGCGTTGATTCAGCAGTTGATTCGGTGATTTTGTGGTCACCTTTGGGCAAGAGACCAGTAAGAGTGGCCATGGAGCATTTGTAGTAAACACAACATCTCGTTTATCGTGCAATCAAGCGATCACGATTGCAGGAGAACCATGTAATGATTTCACTACTATGTACCTTGCTGGCAGTTTCAACTGGCAAGACAAAGGATGTCCTTGCTTGTTTTAGGATATAGGAAGCTCAATCTCCATGAACCCAAATCCAATAGTAGCTATTGTGAACTCTGAAGAATAAGACAAATTTTCAGTGAAAGAAATAGGAACTGTCAAACAATTCTAATGCAAATAAAAGTTATGCAAATAAAAGACCCACCAAAGTTGAGCCGTTCATTTCGTTCCTTGATATCTTGTAGTTGTCTTTGAGCTTCTGCTTCTAAATCACGAGGTGACGGTGCCTTCTCTAGAAAAACAAGTTCCAATAAGCAGGACATATAGCACACATTCGAACGCTGTCATAAATGTTACCCCAAACTGACTGGTCATGAAAAGATAGCGATTTTTAAAACTGCAGCTAATCAAGCATTTGAGGAGAGGGTAAAAAGAGAGACACAGCTTTATGATCCTCTAGCCTGTTACTCTACACTGGGGAAGGGGAGAAAAAAGAGGAATGAATTACGATGGTGAGATAAAGAGATGACTATATGCAATTATAGCCTGCTTAAAAGCAACTGGACAATATGCACTACTATAACATTTTCTCAATTTGAGAGGAGACTACGAAATATATGTTTTGCAGAGCCACAAAATGCAGTACCTTCTCGAATACTGGTGGCTTCAACTTCGCTGGTAATTTAATCTAGCTGGGGGAGGGGAGAGGTGCTTGCTTGGGTTTTAAAATAACCATGAAACCCTTACGTTACTTTCACACAAAATTTCTAAGAAAGTATACAAAATACGATGACCAATGTGGAATAAAAGCTGCATTCATAGCCATTTGCTTCACTTGTGAAGGGTGCGCACAGGACAAATACATCAATTTAGGGCTAAGTAATACACATATTTTTTACCATCTTCTGCTTATGTATAATTAACATATTGCCTGTACACTTACATCAAAGCCAACATTTTTAGTGACCAAACACGTAGCTACACGACGTGATTATCTCAGGCTATTGCCCATATGAACTGCAAGATTTTAATTAAAAATTTTTGATGCCACATTTCATTTGAAAAAAAAATGAAATGAAAAGGTTTTGGAAAAAATGAGTAAGGCCACGTACACGCAAGACATGACTGTTCTGTCGAAATTTGCAAAAGCTTCAGAGTTTTAGTATTATTTGAGCTCCTTTAGTCCTTGTCTGTCCAGACTAAATTGACTCCTTTGAGCCCAGAGCATTTCCAGCTAAATCGTCTTGACACAGCATAGCTATTTAAAAGCAGTATTGATAAAAGGAAAATATACAACCACTGACCACTGAGATGTCAGAAAAAAAAAGTAAACACATGTAACATACACATAAATTAATTGTTGAAAGGTGGTAGCCATGTTGCAAAGGACAAGGGACATAACATTTAACTTGTCCAAGCTACTAAATGACATAAACGTAGTTTTGTCACCACACAGGTGTGCCAGAGTTACTGACAGGCCAGGCCATGCTTTGGCAATAGCCCATGTCCAGGTCAGCAAACTTACTCGTGAGTCGACTCACTCGGACTCGCTCAGACTCTGGTCAAGCTATGAGTCCGAGTCTGAATGAGTCTGGTCGAACAAAATTTTCGTGTCGGAGTGAGTCTACCTTAGGAAAATTTTTATGAGTCTTAGTCCGAGTGAGACCTAAGTGCAAAATATATTTTTTGAGTGAGTCTGAGCGAGTTTCTTTTTTTGCAGACCTAAGGTCCGGGTGCTGAGTTTTTTTAACTAGCCTTAACATTAACCGCGGCGGCACACTCTTACTCGACACGACACTTAGAAATCGAGAAAACACGCGAGAAGAAAATGTGGGTGGCAACACCATCTTGTGACTCCTGCACCTAGCACTGTGGTGTAAGAAATTTTGAAAGCGTCTACTAGGTCCTATGTAGCTTAACCCTTTGCGGTCAGTTGTCGGGTAGACAACGAGAGTGTTCCTCGTTTTAGAGTGTTCCTTATTTAGAGTGTTCCTCGTTTCAACGAGGAACACTCTCATTGTTCGTCGTTTGAATTTAGCGATTCTCACCGCAAGTCGTGCGAATTTTTTTAAATACAGTCGAATCTCATTAATTTCAACAATGTTAATTCGAGCTCCCGGTTAATTCGAACTCACGATGAGGTCCCGTCAAAGCTATGTGTATTCCAATAGGCGAAAACGCCCAGTAATTCGAACGTCCAAGCACTTCGTACGGTTAATTCGAACATGCCGCGCTCCGAAAATGCTCTCAGCACCCCGCCCAATCCCGCGGTGGCACCTGCGACACCTCAACGCTGCCCGCGAAGGAAATGAAAAGGAAAGAAAAGGCTGCAGTGGAATGTTTGCTCTCTCTCAAATGCCGATCTGCGACACGCCCGAGTCACGCTTCTCCCTTTTTTGTCCCTGCCACGTAAAGATCCTTCTCCTTCCAATGCCGCGCACGGAGAGAGAAAAAAAACAACAAGAAAGCTGTCGCTGGGTTGAATGAATGTGTGGTTGAAGAAAAGTAAAAAGGCACTATTTTCTACAGCCCTTGCCCCTCGCGGGAGCACAGCTCAGCGCCTTGGGGGGGAGGGGGGGGGGAGGGTCTAACGCGCCGGTGCCATGCGTTCCAATTTTCCTTCCCAGTCACGTAACCCTTCTCCTTTCAAGAATGCGTGCATAGAGAGCAAAAAAAAAAAAGCTGCCGTGGAGTGTTGATTTTCTCTCAAATGCCAATCTGCTTCTCTCCGCGTGGAGACGCTCCTCCTTTCTCATCACGTGCTGGCCATGCTGCGGCTGCGTAGCAGAGAGCAGAAGGCTCCGCTAAGCAGTCGTCGTCGTCTTTAGAAAGTATCGGTGCTGGACATTTTCGCGCGCAACTTCTCTTGCCAGGAGAATGCTGAAGCCGAATAGAAATGCTTTGCAAGCTGGGTGCAAAATTGACTTGCTGCAAGGCAATTGTGTGCAGACACGCACCACCGATTACTTCAATTATTAACGGACGGCCTGTGATTTGTGAATAAATGTAAGTCTTCTGAAACTTTTCCCTCGTGTGTTAGCTCAATGCACATGCGCCACTGCATAGAGAGCCCTTCGTTTATTTAGCTTTCATTAATTCGAACAAATTTTCGGGCCCCTTCGAGACTCGACTGTACATGAGGCGCCATGCCTCGAGAAATGAGTGAGCTTTGTTTGTTGATGTTTACTTTTTTTAAACACTAGGATGCAGCACTATGTTCAGCATGGAACCTAGAGCGTATCCACTCTCACGTGGTTCGTTGAGAAGCATGGCCACCTTTTCACTGTGTGTGTTTCACGGTTGCGCTTTTAGCGAAAGCGAAGATGACCTTAGTGAGGAAGAGAATTACATGCCCCCATCAGACAGTGATGACACCGATTCGACCGAAGTGAATTTGACTGTGTGAGTTGCGCATTTTGTCGCAAGACGATGAAATGGTGGCGCAAGCTTTTTTTTCTGAACTCTGGAAGTTTCTATTGTCAACAGTTTTATTTTGAGGTGCATACAGCTGCAGATACATGGCCAGCACAAACAGCAACGCCTGTAGTACCGCCACAACCTCATCCAACACCTTGTGGGTGACGTGAGGACTGGAGCCCGAAAGCTGGGCCCGTCTGCACGGAACGATTGTGAAGAAAGCTTAGATGGAAGGAGCCACTTCATCTACAAGCTCCCAGGGCGAAGCAACAAGGACTGCACCGTTTGTAGAGATGAGCAAACAAAAGGAGGCAAGAGAGAAACTGTGTTTTTCTGCAAAACCTGCAGTAACAACCCTGGCCTGCACCCAGGAGAACGCTTTGGGCGGTATCACACGCTGCCTAAATATCGCTAAAGGAGTTGCCTGCAGAATGCAAGAGCAAAAATAAATATCCTGCGAGTTTTTCTTCCGCAGTTCATGTTTTTCTTCGCAGTGCCAGAAACTAGCAAAATAGTTTCGGACCGGTGGAGGCAGAAAGAGGATAAAAGTTTTGGACTGCAAAGGGTTAAAATCGATATAAGTACAATGTAATCTGTGGGTGCCATAGACTTAGAATGCGAAGATTTAAAGAATTTCATCAAGCCAATGCCATAAAAATACCGAAAAGACATTTTGAAATTTTTTACGTTACATGCAGAGATTTTGGCACGAAATTTAATAAACCTCAACCTTAATTTTCTCCGATAATAACAAACTTATGATAATGAAACATATAGTGTTACGAGTTCTCAGAGAGCACTCTGTCAATCTAAATCAAGTCAATATTCCTCTTTAGTGTCCCTTTAAGTTTCTTTTACAAACACCTAGTCATACATTACTAAATGATCCATTTCATTTTCTTTTTTTTTTTTTTTTTCAGCCGTACATCTTAAGTTCAGTAGTGGCTCAGAGACCATCCCACCGCTACCGTTCTTAGACCTGCTCACTGTTCTTTCATGAGGCCAGAATGAAGTAGCAGTGAGCGGGAGATGACCAATAGAGTGGGAAAAGAATTTGCAGACTGCATGGCTCAGCTGGCCAACTTTACACAAAGCAACTGCCTAGTGCCACATGCCAAAGCAACCAGTCCTATTGCCTAGACACTGCATTATTGCATAAACAAACATGCGTGCTGCGAGAAAGATGGCACTGAAGCCCACACACTTGCAAGTATTGTGGAAAGTTGGCTGTCGGGCACTTGATTTTCTCTGCTTTTTATGGGGCTATTACTAGGAACAATAGCCAATGATGCTTTTTGGGCTTGGCAATTGTCAGACAGGTCATTGCCAACCTGCAGCTCAGTGAGCATTTCTGCAACTATCACAACTAGATCAATAGAGGGGCCCATTAAGGGGAGATGCGAGTCAAAAAACAATACTCTTTTTTTCATAATTACATACTTTTTGTTTTTATTGGCTTTCACAAGTTTAGTTTTCTTATTTACACAGCAAAAATACTCAAGATTGTAATTAAACACGAAAAAGGTTAAAATCACTTTTAAAAAGTGCACAGTGGCTAGAAAAAAACTAAAAAGAATCATTGGAAATTGCAACGTGCTTGTTTTCCATTGCGTTTAACATGATTAGATCACCAAAGTCACATGCCCAAAACAATTGCAATTCCAAAGCTCTCATGATGAAAGAAATCATTTTTAAAAGCATATCTTTGCTACTTAGATGGGCTTTCATTTCTCTGTTTAAAATGCGTTTTTCTCAAGGTGCAATTTTGGGCAACTCCTTGAGTTTGGCACATGTTTTTGGCACTTCTGATGGCCATATTGTGATGAAATCTTTTCCGCTAATTCCTTACCATGTTAAGAGTACAATCATCTTCTT